TCGAGCTTTTCGTGCAGGAGATTTCACAAATGAATCCTTTACTTTAGCCAAAAAATTCTTTAAAATTGAAAATTGTGAAAAATCGCGTTAAGTTTCACTAAAAAAAATTAAAATTTAATATTTGTAATAATTAATAAATAATAATATAAAATTTTAATTTAAATAACTTATCCAATTAGATTTAATATATGTGCAGGGTATGGTAGATGTATTAATTGAGGCATAATTGGTTTTAAAACATCCTGATAACACTTCTTCATATATGCAGCAGAATTAGAAAAAATAAAAAAGGAAGTTTTAAAGAAATATTATAAAAAAGTAATATAGGAAGAAGTGTCTGTGCAATTGTTGAATTATTAACTTGTTTTAAAAAATCAATAGATACTAATTTAGTATCTGAATGATATGTAAAAAGGGTATTAATTACACTTTGTGCACAATCATCACTGCTTTCATCCATAATAATATAAACAAGTTTAGCATTAAAAATTATTTTTAATGCATCCACATGTTTATTAAAAACTCTGGGTAAGTATAATTAGCATAAAGTTAGTGCTTGAGGAATTGCTCCTCCTTCTTTAAGGTGTTTTTTAAAAAAAGTAAGTAAGAGATTCACTTTTTCTAATAGAATGTTAACATTAGCAAATGCTTCTATTAAATCTTCTATTACTTCTTTTTTTGATTTTAAGGCAAGTAAGGATGATTGTAATGTTTGTTGACTTTTTGCTTTTTCTTTCGTTTCAAAATTTTTTTTTTGTAAAATATGTTTTTTACTTGCACAATGTGTATCAATTGTTAATTTATGCTTCCATTCTACTGAAAGATCGTAATAATTACAAAAAAGTAAACCATCATCAACGCGAAATACTTCTTTATATTCAGCAACTCGTATATAAGCTGTAATAGAACTGACTTTTCGTCTAGATGCCATTTTAATGAAGTTTGTCTATAATATCTATGATTTTCTACTTATAGTTAAGTAGATTTATATTGTTAAAGATTATCTATACTGCGGATTATGTGTTTTATTATGCATATTTATGCATACAAATAATATGGATCAAATTTTTGTGAAATTATGTGGTAACGATAGGAAATTTTGTAATTATCACAAAATTTTGTGGCATTTGTGATATTTTGCGAAATGCCATAAATCATCGTCCCTAATCATTAGTTCAAGAGTTATTCCATTTAACAATATGATTAGTAATACTATTATGAAAATGATTGCATGTTGAAAAAAGGAGGAATTGGATAATTTCAGGGTTGTTTTAGGACTAGTGATGCTGTTATCTTTCTCTAGTTCGCTAACACCTCTAAGCACTTTAGACTTACTAGATGTTTTTAGGATCTGCTTAGCTAAACGATCATTAGCTTCTTGAAGAAGAGAGTCTTTTTCTATTAATGCTTTTTGTGTTATGACTAAATCATCTTTTATTTGCTCCAATTCATCTTTTTTTCGCTCAATAAATCTTCTAAGTCCATTTTTGCCAAATTTAGGCTGGTATTTTTTGTAGATAGTTCTATCTTTTCTAGTTCGAATTTACGCTTGAGAGATTCCATTTCTAATAACTCATTCTGTGCTAAAGAAACATCCTGCTCTAATTCTTTACTCTTGATTGGAGAGTCTGTATCTTTTCCTTCATCTTGAATTGGAGGACTTGCATCTCCTCCGATTTTATAGAGAATTTGCTTTCAGCATCTGCAAGAGAAATATCTTTGCGAGTAATCTGAAGTTTAAGGTTATTTATCTCTGAATACAATTATCTTATCTCGTCTATAAGTTTAGGATCGTTTATTTTTGATTGTAAGCATGTTATCTCCTCTCCAAGTTGATGCATCTGATTGGAAAGTTTCTCATTTTCTTTTCTAGATCTATTTAAGTCATCCTGCATGCGCTTGTATTCACTATCTAAGATATCATAGTTATCCGCAAACTGGCTTCTCCAATATATAGCAACTTCACGGTCTTTTTTTGCACAAGAAAGTTGTTCTTCAAGATCTGTTCGACTGAAAGGATAATAATTAGCTAGAGTATCTCCAAGTTTATTACCATTATTCAGATCTTTTAAGGTACGGATCTAAGGCATTTTATTGGTAATTTTTTTACTTCAAGCAAAAAATCAGCCAGGGCCTTATGATTATTTTTGGCGAATCTATTAGTAGAGCTTTCCTTGAACGGATAATATCCTAAAATAAATTCAGATTATCCTATTATCCACATTATATCTGAATAATATTTGAATAGTTAACTGGATCTACAAATCTACAAATGGATAAATCTTAGGATTATTCAGATTATTCTAGAATAAATATAATGATCAGCATTTA